TTTATTTGCAGTAATTACTTACGTGAATTAAAAAAAAAAGTTCAGTTTCAAGTTTTTGTTCAGTTCGCCATATAACAGAACGCTTTAATCCTTATAGTTGTCACTTTTATTGAAACTCGTTCATAAACCAATGAACAGAAATCAATTGAAAAAGAAAAAAAATGTTTACCATCCTTATACTGATTGCGATCAGTTGGTATACCGCAAATTGACACATGAAATACAAAACTAATATTTTCTGAGTTCTATCTATAGGATACACATCAGTAAGTGACGCCCATCTCTATCATATAACTACAGTAGTTCGTTAACTTCTTTTGCTGAATTGGAAGATTAAATATGAAATATATGGAGATAAAGAAGAGTGTTCAAGCTCAAAAGTCCATTCATACAGGAGCAGAGCAAACATGGACCTCTAAAACATCAGATGTGGGATCAGGTGTCTTTGTCGTCCTGTTTCCCTGTACAATTGTTTAAGAGACTTTGGCTATTTTAAATCATAGAAATACCGGTAACAAAAAACAACCAGTGCAAAAAATTCTATCCCAAAAATTTCTTAACAAAGGATGTGCGAGGCGATAAGCATTTTTAAATAAAACCTTGTACAATCTTCAGTAAAAAATGCAAGAGAAAAGTCTGAAGGTAAAGTTTTTCACTTCGTATTTTATGAAATTATATATAATTCCTTTCACAAATGGAACAAAATACCAGAAGCTTTTGAGTTTTTTTAGGTTACAGATTTAATTGTTTAATTTTTTGTTGATAATTATAAAATATTGTCACACCAAATTAGAATTCGTCATCTTTTATTGAACTATGTGTAATGTGTAATATTTATCCATCCCACAATCAAAAATCTGTACGGGAAACAGCCTTTTGGTGAAGTAAAAAGATATCCAGGTTATAAAATGAAGATTTTAATCTAGACTTTAAACCTTCCACTACATCAAGGGTATGTCAATGACAGAATGTATGTGCATTTATGAGCAAATTATGCATTTCCGAGCCTGAATAGATATTCAAAGTAAAATTTTAGAAGCTTAGGGGAATTATTTCAAAAGGTAACTTCAAAAAGGTATGTACATGAATTTGAATGCTTTAGATTATTCTGATTATTTTATAAAACATTTAGAAGACTTGCATGAAATTGATGTTTTCGTCTAAATAAAACCAAGGCATGCAGGCCATTTAAAGAAGTAATGTCACTCACTTTTGGTCATTTAAGAAATTGTTTTTTTTTTTGGGGGGGGGGGATAAGGAATGGAAGGAGATTTGGTTGATTACAAAAGTAATACTTTTCGTTTCCCTGCATATCAGGAAATACTTCCCACAATAATACAAAACGAAATAAGTCATATGTATTAAGGAATACGTTTTTTTGTTTGTGACGTTTCGAATTAAGTGTGAAGATAAAAAAAAAAACAAATTCAAAAATCTAATTGGAAAATAAAACTTAAGAGCAGAGCAAACAAGGACCACTTAAAACACCAGAAATGGGATCAGTTCCCTGACAACTAGGTCACTCTCGTCGCCAACCCTTCGCCTTGATTCGATAAACGTAGAAATCCTTGACATATAATAACAAGAGGCCCAAGGGCCTTAACGGTCACAAGTATAATACAACAATTTAGAGGATCCATAGAGTATAAAATGAACTGAAAGATGAAGCTTTGTTGCCCAAAAGCAAGAAAAATAGGGTGATCAGGATTAACAAAATAATTAGTCTAGTATTCATTAACAGTTCATAAATTAGGTTCTAATCTGTTCCCCATTTATCACTCTCACCAGACAGTATATTAAGAAACTATCAGTGCTTCTGTACTCTTTTAATTCCTTGTGGAAATCTCTTACATTGGCCTGAGTAAGACTCTTGGTCTTTGATGAACATTTAAGGTACTGGTATTCCATCCCTAATAGCCTCAGATTCAATGAATTTGAATACATAACAGATGTGTACGGGTGGAATACTCAGTATATTTAGACATAATCTACATTTATTACTATTAGCATGTAAGAATGGAAGTGTCCTAATTTATGACTTGACCTTTGTTGAAGAGTTATCTCCCTCTTTTTTTAAGTAATAAAAATCAATTTTAAAAAAATATACGGTAAAAAAATTGTTTTCAATTGTCATTCTATTTCTAATGATTTAATGGATCTTTCCACCACAGTACTTATTGATATTCTTATTATCTGAATTTTTATTTTAAAAAAATCGCTTGTCTCCATAGACTTCAATGCAATTTCTATTAATTAAATACTGCTTAGTTAATTACGTTTTTGAAACTTTCACTTGGTAAATCCTTTTCTACTGTAAAGTTCTTTGAATTAATATCAGAGTATTATATACGTGATTGATATTTAAGGATAGAGAATTACTTCCTATTAGGGATGAAAAACCTTAATAAGACAAGTCTACCTGATCATTAAAACTATGAAAGTACTTTTTGTATTATTCAATAAAAATTCTTGCATAATTCTCATTCTATTAACCTTTCAAGTACATTATTTACTGTAACAGTGATTAATTATCACAAGTAAATGGCAAAGGGGAATAACTCCTCTCAGTAGAATACAAATTAATAGAGCCCTGGTCTGGACTAGAACACTTGACCAAATGGTCTTGATGTTCAAAAATCTGGTAAAAATACCCTTCCTTATTAAAACTTTTACCCTTTTTGCCTCTGATATGCCCAGGTGCAGAGAAGATTTTTAAAGCATTAATGTATTTTCACTATATAATAAATAGAGTCCCGCCCTAACATCAGAACCTCTGATCCAGGGGTCATGAAATTCACAAATTTGGAAAAGGCATCCTTGCTTATCATAACCATGTATTTGTTTAAATAATACTCAGGAGAAGAGAAGAAGCTTTTCAAAGAAATAATGCACTTTCACTATATGATCTATATAGCCCCACCCTAGCACCAGAACCCCTGACCCAGGGGCCATGAATTTCACAATTTTGGTAGAGTCACTCTTGCTCATCATAACTATGTATTCGATTTGTTTCAATAATACCAAGGAGTAGAGAAGAAGATTTTCAAAGAAATAATGCACTTTCACTATATGATCTATATAGCCCCGCCCTAGCAACAGAATCCCTGACCCTGGGGCTATGAATTTCACAATTTTGGTAGAGTTACTCTTGCTTATCATAACTATGTATTCGATTTGTTTCAATAATACCCAGGAGTAGAGAAGAAGATTTTCAAAGAATTAATGCATTTTCATTATATAATCAAAAGAGCCCCGCCCTAGCACCAGAACCCCTGACCCAGGGGCCATGAATTTCACAATTTTGGTAGAGTCACTCTTGCTTATCATAACTATGTATTCAATTTGTTTCAATAATACCCAGGAGTAGAGAAGAAGATTTTCAAAGAAATAATGCACTTTCACTATATGTTCTATATAGCCCCGCCCTAACACCAGAACCCCTGACCCTGGGGCCATGAATTTCACAATTTTGGTAGAGTCACCCTTGCTCATCATAACTATGTATTCAATTTGTTTCAATAATACCCAGGAGTAGAGAAGAAGATTTTCAAAGAAATAATGCACTTTCACTATATGATCTATATAGCCCCGCCCTAGCACCAGAACCCCTGACCCTGGGGCCATGAATTTCACAATTTTGGTAGAGGGCTCAATGCTTATTACAATCATGCCAACAGTTTGACTGCTTGATGTCCAGGAGTAAAGAAGAAGATTTTTAAAGATTGCATTAATTTTGATGGTTTTGGCCCCACCCCTCAGGCCCCAGGGGGGCAGGGGCCACGAATTTCACAATTTTTGTTCCCCTTCACCCATAAATGCTATATGCCAAAATTGGCTGAAATTGGTTCACTGGTTCCAGAGAAGAAGCTGAAAATGTTCAAAAGTTTACGACCGACGAACGACGGACAACGCACGACAACGGACGAAAAGAGATAGCAATAGGTCACCTGAGTGACTCAGGTGACCTAAAAATGTTAAAATGAAAACAACTGGACAATTTTGTTGATACTTTAACTGGTGAAAATTTGACTTGTAAAACATCAAACGTTGTCTATTGAATTGAGTGTTTTCTATGCGGACTGGTATATATAAGGTAAACAAATAATTCAATCAGTAGGGGCCATCAACATCTGTATAACATTTCAATTCGCCTAATCACTCTATTATTTCAATGTGGGCAAGAATTTCGCGGAAGAATATATATCATCAAACTGATAGTCCCACTTTAAGCACTCCATTCTGTATACAACGAAAAGAATACTGGATCAGGAAAGTAGTCGTGGCCTTTCTATGTTGTTGCAGCGACCACATAACTAATGTGAGGAATCTTTTATGTCTACAATGTGCCAATGTGAATATGACAATACATCTAGACGTAGTTTTGAAAAAATCAAGAATTTCAAAGTATATTTCCCATATTTATCAAAAGAACAATCAAAATACGGCCAAGAAAAAAAAGATCCGCATCATCAGAAGAGGGGCTATGTTTTGACACTAAAAGACATATGAGACTTTTTTTCATTCAAGAACGTTATTTAGAGTTGTTATAAAATAGCACATTTTTTATCGATAACTAAGTAGAAACATTTATTTGATATTCGAAAATACTATGGTCCTTCCCAAGCACTATTCAGGTACATAAGGATCCAATGATTTGGTTTTGGAACAAAAAGTCAATATTAATTGCGTGATTCATTTGCACCAAACATTCCGTAGTCAAATTCAGAATTAAAACAAAAGCCTAAATATGATTATTCTGCATAGATGTAACTTCCTTGTGTCTTTGATTTCTACCAAAAAAAAAAAAAAAAAAAAAAAAAAAAAAAAAAAAAATTCCGTGCCTGTGCAGTGTCTAAGCAAACCTAATTATTTTGTAAGGAATAGTGCATGTTTCAGTTTCTCAATATTCTCGAAAGCGTTATATGATACTTCTGATCTTGATTATTTCACATGCAGTGTATATGTTTGCTAAATTCATTAAAAGTGCCATCATATTAGACATGACAGAGTATGATTATTCCGACAAAGACAAACAACTTTTACACAAAGTAACAGTCGTCATAAACGTAGGCTAATATTGTTATATTATGGTTTATTTTCCCTCTTTAGCTCAGCAACCAAACACAAACAGGATAAGGTCCATAGAGCTTTGGAAGAAATGGAGGATATAGTCGCCAAATATGACGAGGTGAGAGAACACACAAGTGGCGGGGTAGGGATGTACTTCACTACGTTAAAGATGACACAAGTGGGCTCTATATTATAATGTCAGTGATGACACCGTGGGGCGGGGGAATGGTGACAGCACAAGGTGAGAGAAGACACAAGAGAAATTTTTAAGGGACACAAATGTTTTAGCGGTGTTTGTAGTTTAATGAGTGGTTAAAATAGATCTATGTTACTTGCTTATAGACCATAGGGATGTGTACAGGTGGTTTCTTTAAAAGAATTTTTTTCAACTTGGTGAGGCAAAGAAACAAAATATGCATTAAGGGAATAGTCTATTGTCTATTGCCCCATCTCTAATATTTTTAGAGTTCCGTGTTTGCTCTTCTCCAGATTTGTATTGTTTCTATGGAGTTTAGAGACTGATAACTATACATCTGATCTAAAATATGAAAGTGATATAATAAATCAAAACTCATACTTTCTGAATCGTTAAAATACCATGCAGTAAGAATTCACAAATAGTTTTTTCATATGAACTCCTAAATGTCGATTGTGACGTCATGAACTTTCCTGCATTTTCTTAAAAAGTTGCAGAGGACATTAATCTTCAGTGTTATTTTCCTTCATAGGTAATATAGAGCACATGCGTCGCCCACAAAGATTCTGAGAAATATGATATTTCAAAGGATTTTACACAACATATCCAAACAATGAAGTGGGCAACGATTGTGGTCACTATTTTCTTTAGAAAAATACCTCCAGAAATAAGACATTTTGAGTCTTTTTTCTGTTTAAAACTGAGAAATGTACCAAAGTAAAGACGTCATATTTCCAGAATGACCCTCCTTCATGCCATATTTCTTTATGATTTACTACAGTCATTAGCTCTAACTCATATTCAAATAAATTTCATAAGTTTTTGAAAACATTAAATTTTTAGGGCACAATAGATCCCAGACCGTATTGACTTTAGAACAGAATGGACGAAAATGGATCAATGAATTTCATGTTAAGCTTAATCTTTTTGAAAATCAAATCAGCGCCTAAATTCTATTCTTTCGATACTGATGTTGAGACAAAATTAAATCCAATAATCAAGTGTTGGAAGGAACAGCATGCTCGTTTTGCCTGAATCGTCATTATGGACACAACTTCACACACACTCTCTCTCACCAAACACACACACAATTTCTCAGACATTTAATCTCCACATACACATCTAAAAATTGACTTTTTTTTGTTAACGGAAAATTTAGTAATATATATATATATATATCACGTTCTGAATTTCAATCAAAAATTATTGATTGCTTGTATAGATTTTGTTCATTTTAAGTAAAATATGTGGAAAGAAATTTAAATAAATGTGATGAAGTACGTATCTGCTTGTTCAAGAAAATGGGGGTTTGATATAAAATCTTTAAAACGTATTTAAATTCAAAAGGCTTATTTTTGAATATAACAAATTTGATTTTAAATGTTTGAAAGTAATTGAAGTTTCTATGCACTTTAAAATACTTGATATTTATCTTTTTAGGGACTGGAGGAGAGTGCTCAGATTGACCATGGAGCACATAAGGAGTGCCTGGACCGCTGGGGATTCATCTAGTGAGTACTGGTTCTAAGAGTGGGGAAGTTTTTTGCACTTTTAAGACCCCCCTAAACACACACACAGTAGAACGACTTAGAGGAAAACTTGTTCCCACTTTGGAAAAAAAAAAGATTAAAAAATCTTTTAGATACTCAGACCAGCAGTTATAGTCAATTAATTCTGTAATATTTACGTTTTAAGAATACCTAATCTTAGAAAAAGCAAGAAAAGAAATCAACGTTCTAAAACCTATTCTATATGATTTTATATACAGATATAAACACAAACAACAATTTGTTTGCTTTTAAGAGAAATAATGGTTGCAGCTATCGCTTAGGCGGTTTATGTATTTTTTTCTGCAACAGCTGCACCTTTAACTCCAGTCCGAACAAACACAGAAAGCGTTAAATAGTTTAAATATTTATATTTTGAAAGAATTTTCTGAAATGATTGGCAAGATTTTTCTTCAATGGCATTAATACAAGGATGAGCACGAAACATTTTAAACATTCAGTTTCATAGTAGTTTCCAAATACTGTAAAATCATTTATTTTCGGGGGGGGGGGGGGTACTGTTTGTTGTTTTCATGGTATGAATAGACCCACGCATCTATGTCCTCCACGAAATATGAAATTTTAACAACTTAGCACTTCTTCATTCGCGATATCAAATCCGCACTAATCCCCACTAATCCCCACAAATCCCCACTAATCCCCACTAATCCCCACATATCCCCACTAATCCCCACTAATCCCTACAAATCTCCACTAATCCCCACTAATCCCTACAAATCCCCACTAATCCCCACTAATCAGTAGTTTTTCGTTAAAACCACGAAAATCTGACCTCACGAAAATGTATAATTCTACAGTATACAAAAATCTGTTGTGTTTATTTCAGTAAAAATGGACTTCCCGAAGGACGATATGCGAAGGAGAGCGAGGTTATTTTACTTTCATTCAATAGGAAACTTTTATTCGTTAAGTCATAAAACAAATATCTAGCCTTAGTGATATGAATTACTGATAAAATCAAGAGTTCTTTACTTAAAGATATGGTGCAGTATATTTTTTTTGGGGGGGGGGGGGAATGCACCTTTTTCTTTCGGAGTTGCATTTCTCTTGCATAAATCATTTCTGAAAATAAACTTGGCAATATTAGATGATGATTATACAAAAGAATGTTATAAAACACTTCATTTTTTTTACAATCAGGTTATAGAGAAAGAGAGAAAAAGGTCAAAGAAATGGCAGAAAATGGTCAGTGAATGGGAGCAGTCCTGTCGTGGTGAGAAGGTAAAAAGGACAAGTGGGGGGTATGTCTTCTAGAATAGAGTTAGGATGGGTTGTACATATTGAAGCTCAGCTTTATATATTTTGATTTCTGCCAGTCTGTTAACGTATGTCTTTTAAGTTATTATATTGATGTACCTTGAATCTTTTTATATATCTATATATACTAACACATACCAAACAAATTACACCCATCTTTTTTTCTAACAGTTTGTAAGAAGGATTTACAAGGGAATTCCTGCAGATGTAAGAGGTCTTGTTTGGGCTCGAATTCTCAATATCAATCAAACCAGAGAGGAGCAGAATGGAGTATACATGGTAAAAAATAGTGAATACAATGTTTTTTTACATAAAGGAATCAATTAGCTGATACCCACCAGTGATTGCAAAATCTTGAAACTTTAATGCCCGATTGGGCAAATATTTTTTTAAACGTTAGAATGAATAAAAAAAAAGTGAAGGTAACGCACAAGTTTCCTTTTACTTTAGATAATGATGTCCTTGTATTTTTTAACAAAAATAAAAAAAAGGAATATTTTCCAGTTGTCACAATCAACAACCATTGTCAGTGCCATAACGTTCCTAAATTTGGACTTTTTTGCTGCTGAAATTAAGAAAATAAATTTGCATGAACAATCATTTTATTGTAAAGGCTAGTTTCATGTTATCATTCTCGAGGGAAATGATTATTAGGTTATGTAGGAAAAATCATCAACATATTTTAATAATATATATTGTATTCAGGCAATGAGAGACAAAACTAGGGAAAAGTCATCCCACATACGACAAATAGACATAGATGTCCAAAGAACATACAGAAATCACACCCTGTTCAGTGAACAATATGGTGTCAAGTGAGTGCTGGTTCTATATCACAGAGCGGAACAAGAATAAAAATTATTTTGGAAATCGACGAGAATTTCAAAGATTTTCTAGGAGATCATCTTGCAAGTATTTGCAAAATAAATAAAAGATTCATCATATTTGAAGATACATTTACACTGGTTTCTTATTGACAAGGACGATATATGTTTTGCACTGCTGAGGGCGGATTAACATGATGTTTTTTTTTATTTTCTGCAGACAAAAGTCCCTGTTCCATGTCCTTGCTGCCTACTCAGTTTACAACACAGAAGTGGGCTATTGTCAGGGAATGAGTGAGATAGCAGCTCTTTTATTAATGTACCTTAATGAAGAGGTCAGTGTACAAACATCAACTTTACAATGAAGCATCTCTGCTTTCTGTCTATTTGTTATTTACTAGTATCCTGTTTGTTAATCATTGTGAGTATAGCACATACTCTAAAAATCCTTCATATTCGTGTTGAAATACTTCAAAGATCCGCCTGGGGTTTTATCATGTGAAAGCTACAAAAGGGAAAATCTTAAATTTTTTACATAATTATATAAATTACATTGACTTTAATGTATATGCCAAGTTTAGGAAAAATCTACCGTCTGGGTATATTTTGGGAACCGTTTCAAGATACAGGTAAATTTACTATAGGATCATACTGGAAGGTGCCTATTTTTTTCACTTCGAAGCAAATTACAAAAACACTAAAAGTAGACTTTTTGCTCAAATTATAATATTTGATCAGTAATACTATATAGTACATTATGTGCAATGAAATATATGGAGATAACGAAGAGTAATCGAGCTCAAAAGTCCATTAAACAATACAAAATAGGAGCAGAGCAAACACGGACCTCCAAACATCAGAGGTGGGATCAGGTGCCATGGAGGAGTGAGCATCCCCTGCCGACCAGTCACACCCGCCGTGTGCTCCTTGTCATGATCGGGAAATAACGGAAAAATCGTCGACAATTCAGTGTGTAAATAATGGCCTAACAATTAGTATGAAAAACGTCAGTCAGCATTTGACTCAATGATAAATTGAACTTGCTGACAAGGTCATTGTATCGACCATAGAACTTACGAAATGATGACTTTAAACGAGACAGCTGATATTCTTGTTTCATCAACTTGTTTGTCAATAATTTACCTCGTTTTAGAAATTGTACATACGTAGAGCATGCTCTTGGGTATCGAATCAACTGATAGATATATACCCCGTATGCAGGTGATGAAGGTATATTGCTGCATAAGTAAGGGAAGTTGACGATTGAAAAGTTAAAGTCATTTAACTTAAAGTCGTTTGTCATAAAGCTTGGTTGTCAGACTACCATTAACGTCTTTTTCAAGTAAAATATCCAAATATGAAACAGATGTGTCAGACTCTGTGGTATCTTTTATCTCAAGCTCACCGGGATATATCGTATCGACATTAGAATGGAAATAGCCATTGTTAATTGCCAATACGTCGCCGATATATCTAAATGTCGAGTTGAAGGCCACAGCAAGTGTTTTCTTCTTTTCACGTACAAAATTTTGGACAAATTCTGCTTCATATGAATACAAAAAAAGGCCTGCTAACAACGGGGCGCAATTGGTACCCATGGAAATTCCAATAGATTGTTGGAAGACCTGGTCTCCAAAAACCACATAGATATTGTCAATCAGAAACTCAAGCATCTTTTTAATGTCAACTTCAGAGCACTTGTATGTACAATGAAATTGTGTGTGCAATGCAAGAAATACCAAATACTACTGTCTAGTTTTTCAGAAGGATCGAGCATCTTTAAAATCTCAACATTTATGATATTTTCCTGTTTTCGTTGAGTAGTTCAAAATGTGACAGATACTAAGGATTTATTAAACAAATTCAGATAATAATTGAAAGATTCTCGCATTCCTTCTGTTAAATTTCAAGAGCATACATTTTGTATTTTTTTCTTTTATAACATTTCATAAGACCCCCTCTGAAAAAAAAAAAACAAGTTTCAGTTTATTGTAACGTTTCAAACACAGTTACGACGTCCATTTAACTATCAGTTGACAAAGCAATTTAAAAAAGAAGTTATCTAAAATTCAACAAGGTTTTTTAACCTGTGATCTCTAAATTGTGTTAAATCATAAATTGTTTGATAAAAGTTGCTTTAAAACATTAAATACGCTTGATTACATGTATACTATGCTGCGCGAAGCATTGTGCAAAGAAACCCCGTGTCAGCCCAATAAGGTCAAATGATACTAACAAACGTTTTGTCAAAAATCTTTAACATTGCAACTTCAGTCATATTTAAAGGAATAAATTAACAACTTTAACCTGGTATATTTTAAATTTCACGATAATAGGATTTAAAGTGATAAAACTTTGTTTATATTAATAAGGATGGTTGCAGAAAGGTAGACTTTTGAACATCTTAGAAAGTTAACTGTTTCTTAATATTTAAAAAAAAATATTCGTCAAAATCATCGTTTACTACAAAAAAGGGCCAGAAATATATACAAATTCAGGCATCAAATTTTTGTTTGTGAGTATCATAAGAGATCTGCGAGTAACTTAATCTCATGAGTAAGAAGGTGTGACGGCAGCATGGGTAAAGTGGGAATTATATAAGATGTCAAAGTTTAACTTAAGCATATAAAAAAAAACATTGAAAGCAAAATAATAATATATATATCAGAATGGAAGGACCACAATTTCTTAATATTTTAGAAATTTATTATTCGCATCGTTTACACCTAAAATAGGGCCAAACACAATGTAAATACTAGTAACTCAAATTCATGCATGTTTGAATGAAAGGATCTAGGGTTAAGGTGGTCAAGACTGCATTGTCATGAATAGAAATATGTATGATTAGGATGATGATTGCGACTCATGGATTTACTGTTTGTTGAAATGTTCAGTTTATTGTAACGTCTCAAACACAGTTTTTTAATTTATTCCTTTAAATATGACTGAAGTTGCAATGTTAAATTAATGTTCATTTCAACAATATTAATTTTGAAAAGATTTTATAATGAGTATTATAATAGATAGTATGAAAAAAGGTGTTTAAGAACATATACAGACAGGATAATTCGTGATCATCATTTTAGGATTCATTCTGGGGCCTTTCAGAGCTGTTCTGTAGTCAACAACACGGCATGCATGGTAAGAATCTACTTGTCGATTTCATGGTAAAAACAGCTACAGACTAACTTTTAGCGCATGTGCATAGTGAATATACGCAAAAATAGCTTAATGGTATGTTGAATTTCATTTTAGTTGATAGTCTCAAAGGAAAAAGAAATGTATCAAAACATTTTGAAAATACAAAATACCAATTTTCGAAAAATCGTGGTAGCCATCGTGAAAATGACTGAAACATGAATGGCCAATGCTGATGAAATATGAAGAAAACGAACAGTATTCAATCTCGAAAGTCCAATGAAACGATACAAATTTGAAGAGCAAACACGGACCTCAAAATTTAGAGGTGGGATCAGGTGCCATGGAGGAGTGAGCGTCCCCTGCCGACCAGTCACACCCGCCGGGTGCTCCTTGTCATGATCGGGTAATAACGGAGAAATCCGTAGACAGTTCAGTGTATAAATAATGGCCTAACAATAAGTATGATAAACGTCAGTCAGCATTTGACTCAATGATTGATTGTATGTGATTACAAGGTCATTGTATCGGCCGTAAAACCTGACAAAAGATTACTTCAAACGAGACTGTTGATATCCTTGTTTCATCAACTTGTTTATCAATAGCTTGCCTTGTTTTAGAAATTGTTCATACGTAGAGCAGGCTCTTGCATATCGAATCAACTGAGAGACATAAACCCCATATGCAGGTGATAAGGGTATATTGCTACGAAAGTAAGGGAAGTTGACGATTGAAAAGTTGAAGTATCACGTTTATCACAAAGCTTTGTTGTTAGGTTATATCTTTTAATATTAAATTTACTCATTTAGATTGACGGAATTGTACATTTACTTATAGTCTTTTAGTACCATACTTTTCATATTGATTTTCCATTGTGTGAGCATGCTTATATACCCGGATAAAAAGTTTTTTTTTTATTTTATAATCCAAAACTATGTCAGAAACATTTGTTTTTTTTTTTTCTGAAAATTTGTTTTTTTAATAATGAATAAATATGACGACTATTATTGTCAAAAATCGGCATATATTCTTTTTTTCTGACAGTTGTCATATTCATATAAAATAAGCGCTAAATGATTTAGTTTAATTCAAAATGTATATTGCTCATTGTTCAGTTTGTTTGAATATTTATTTAATAGATTTAAGGATAAAATTAAAGTCATATCCTAAAGCATACTTTAAAATATAGGTAAATAATATGATATTGATCCTAAATATCCAATCATTTCGGCAGATTGATTGATTGAATAATTGATTGATTGAATATTGTTTTATGTCCCGTGATTCGAACACTTGACCTCCAAATCACGGAGGGAGCGCTGTACCGACTGAGATACCGTGTCGATTTTGGGCAGAATGACATAGAGCACACGGCGGATATGACCGGTCGACATGGGATGCTTTCTTCTCTTTGGTACCTGATCCCACCTCTGGGGTCTTTTAGAGGTCTGTATTTGCTTGTTCCAAATCTATGTTGTTTCAATGGACTTTTTAGCTTGATTACTGTTTGTTATCTCTATATTTCATTGAAACGATAAGCGGGAAAATAGCAAATTCAAAGACATCAAACTTCTAGGCGAACCGACTTATATTCCTGCATGATTTGCTTGATTGATTGTATGTTTCTGAAGGTCTCATTCGAAGATTTTTCTCGTATGTAGAGAAATCACCATATGCTGGTGTAGGGCTTCAAATTTAAACTTAAACTCGGCACTTAGGATCATTGAACGGTGAGGTTTCTTAATCGTGCCAACGCCTACCGTGAGACCGGACCTCGGTTTTTAAGTCTTATTCGAAAGACTTTCACTCTGAGTGCCGATAGCTTGCAAAGAAATAGTCTATTGTTTAAACTGACGCGGCGAACGAGAATCGAACCCGAACCTCCCGATCAAGAAGGGAACGCTTCTGTAACTAGTGGTAACACTACTGTAATGATTTTCCCCTTAGATTCCAAAAAATCCCCTGACGTTCCCCTGTCTGTCACTGACATTTTCCTGTCTCCCCCTGACTTTCTCCTATGATCCCCTGTCGTTGTCCCTGACTACCCTGTCTACTCCCTGACGTCCCCTGACTTTGCCCCTGTTACCACTGTCTAACCCCTGATATCCCCTGACATTCACTGACGTCCCTGTCAACTCCCTGATGTCCCCTGACTAGGTCCCTGACCACCTGCCAACCCCCTGTCGTCCCCTGACATTCATTTTGACCAGGAAAAAGGGTTAAAATATGTTTTGTTGCTATTTACTTGTGAGAAATACGTTACTCTTGGCAATTCTTAAGTTTTGTGAAAATATATATTTAGTCAATTGTTATTTGTTTGAATATCTTGAGTAATTTATTTCTTAATATGATTGTATTTGATTGTTTTAGTTTACTACATGTAGCTTTTAGATAAATTTTAAGGAGAATAAATGCCAGTTACTTTGAAAAGAATGAATTACAAATTTATTGTGTCTTGTTATGAATGGAAAGTAATTATATTTATATTTATTTATATGTTTATCTATATATCCACATGTATTTATTTATTTGTTTTATTTATTTATTGACTAATTTATTAATTAAATCTGTTCATATATTTCTTTTTAGATATATTTTCCTTATTGAAATATTAATTAATTGATAAATATTATATATTTATTTAGTTTTTAATTCATTTTATTTTAATTAATTAATTCTATTTATTCAATTTATTTGTGAGTTTCGCATAAACAGTCATAAGGTAAAACAAAATATGCTTCAAAGTTTCTTTTAAGCATATTTACATTTCTTTTAATTCTTTTAATTTCATGATGGGTATCAAAATAATCGTCTTATTACACACAATTGGAATTCGGAATTGGTTTTATTGCTTCTTTTACTTTGGTAAAAAAAAATAAAAATGTTCCTCAAAAACTGTCATGGCTGTGAGAGTAGTTCCGAGCTGTTGATAGTTGACCAGTGACTCTGGGTACACAAATCAGACACCTATTGTTCTTTTGACTGACCACTATACACTGTTTATTCTGTGGCAGCACGACCGTATCCACTCTGCAGGTGTTATTTCTTTCACAACCGTGACAAGTTTTTGAGGAAATTTTCATTTTACCGAAGTAAAAGGGAACAATAAAACAAATTCCAGATTCAGATTGTGTATAGTAAGACGATGATTACCCATCATGAAATTAAAAGAATTAAAAGTAATTTGAATATGTTTAAAAAATAGTTTGAAGCAAATTTGTTTTACACGGACACTGTATATGAAGAACTTCGCAAAATGAATTAAATTTAATTAATCAATAAATTAAAATAATTGAATAAAATAAAATAAAATAAATAAATAAAAATTTTAAATAAATCCATTTGTTTATTGATAATTAAGTAAAACAAATAAATAAATTAAATAGATAGCTTGAATAAAAAATAAATATATAAATGGAGAAAAAAGAATAAACAAATAAGCAGACAAATTAATAAATAAACAGATACATGAATTAATAAAATCAATAAACAAACAAGTAAATAAATAAACAGATAAATAAATAAATATATATATATTTACATGCCATTTGTGCTGCACAAGACGCAATATATTAGTAATTTTTTTTTTTTAAGTAACGGCATTTATCCTTATTAAGATTTCTCTGAAAAGCTAATAACAATCAATAAAATAATATTTTGAAAGATTCGATGATGATTAAATCTACATTTTCACAAAACTTGAAAATTGCTAGGAGTAAGGTATCGATTTTCTCACAAGTAAATAGCAACAAAACATATATTTTAACCCTTTTTCCTGGTCAAAATGAATGTCAGGGGACGACAGGGGGTTGGCAGGGTGGTCAGGGACGTAGTCAGGGGACATCAGGGAGTTGACAGGGACGTCAGGGAATGTCAGGGGACATCAGGGGTTAGACAGTGGTAACAGGGGCAAAGTCAGGGGACGTCAGGGAGTAGACAGGGTAGTCAGGGACAACGACAGGGGATCATAGGAGAAAGTCAGGGGGAGACAGGAAAATGTCAGTGACAGACAGGGGAACGTCAGGGGATTTTTTGGAATCTAAGGGGAAAATCATTACAGTAGTGTAAATATGGAACCTGGAGATAATTTCAAGTGATCAAACTAATGTTGGTGGAGTTTATGTCTTATAGACCATAAACATTATCTGTGTTCAAACCGCATTAAAATTATAATAATTAAACACTATGCATATATTTATAAGAAACTTAATTTCTGAAGCATTCTGAATTTATGTCATTGTAGGGTTTTTTGTACCAGGATTTCCTAAATTTCATCGATATCAGGAACACCACGATGTGATTTTGAATAAATTTTTACCTAAAGTTAGAGAGCATTTTGTAAGTACTTTTAGAGAAAATTAGCCCAAATGCACAAGAAAATACAACATTGCTTAAACTAAAAGAAGTCAAATATTTTTTGTTCAAACACTGAAATTTAAGCCTTGATGTAAATGTTTTATCTCGTACATTGAATGTGTTAATTTTATAGGAGAAAAATGACGTTAAACCTTCTTTATATTTGCCAAAATGGTATTTACAGAGTTTTTTAGGATCGGTAAGAAGTTTTAATGATATTGTTACATATTATGTGGAAAAAATGACTTCATTTGTAATATTATTACGGTGTGACGTAAGTGTACAGTTTAATTATGCAGATCCCATTTTCTTTGTCCCTGAGGCTGTGGGATATCTACATCTTTGAGGGAGAAAAGGTTTTCTCAGCAATGGCGTACAACATTATCAAATTACACAGGAGTAAGTCGTTGAGATTCTTCCCCTTTTTCTTAATGCCAATAGAAAATATTTGCATTGTCTTTTTTTCATATAATATGTCCAGTTAAAATTAAAACAGCATTTGAATTTTTATACCTGGCATTACATTTTAACATGTTCACCTTAAAAAGAATTTGATATTAAGTTGAAAATAATATGCTAAAAGTTATTATGAATGCTCTGTACTCTTTAGAGTTCTTTTGTCAACTTAATCTAAGAAAACAAAAATGCATTTCGATAAAAGTATTGTGTGTTTGTAGGGAAGTTGATGAGAATGAATGCAGAGGAAATCCAGGAACTCTTTCATACTGAACTCGAGAAGAACTTTGGATACAATGATGATGTTGTGATTCATCAGTTATCGATCTGTATGCAGGAACTACATAAAGCTAAAATGGACCTCCCACCTCGTGCCAAGGTGAATGAAAAACCAACATTGCCTTTCGGACTATAGGGAATAGAAGATAAATATAAATGGGCTTTACACAGAAACAGCTGAGGATGTCAAATGAGAAAAATTAACGAGTTTCATTTGCATAATCTGCTGTGTTGCAACCACTATTGAAATAATCATTTCAATAGTGGTTGAGAATGCATTTCAAAATCAAACACTGGTTGCAACCACTATTGAAATAACGTTCACTATTAAATTATTATTCAATAGTGGTTGAAAATACATTTCAAGACCGAACACATGTTGCATCCACTATTGAAATAATGTTCACTATTTAAGCAATGATTTCAATAGAGGTTCTGAATGCATTGATAATTACATGTATTTCAATAGTAAATATTATTTCAATAGTGGTTTTATACGTGTAACCACTATTGAAGTAACAACCTCTAATGTTATAACCCTTATACTTAGCTTTTCCGAATGGTTGATATTAATGTATTGACGAGTAGAAACGTTGGATTTACTATCCATATTTATAGTGAAGTCAAGCCCATGAATATAAGCAAAAATTAACTTATATTCTATATTCTTTTGATTAAAAATAACCATATTTTCATCAGAACATTTTGTACACATAGATATCAGTCTTCTTTATTCTTTTTAATGTAGATATTCTAATTTCTACAACTATCTGTATGTATGAACTTTTCCTTTCCAAATCAATGGCAAAGATGAACCTCATATAACAAAATCACTTAAACCTTGCATAGTTTGATTGATTGTTGGTTTTCGCCGAGTCGACCAGATTCAGCGAAAGCTTGCATATAACAGTTGCATACTTTGTTTGAATTTTAGGTACGTCAGTTAAAAAATGATGTCCGTGAATGGAAATTTCTAGAAAGGAAAGGAAAACATAAAATTAGACTTCATATTTCAAAACTCAAATTATTTTTTTTATGCTGGAAAACGAAATGAACAATTCATTCTTATATTTTCTTCAATAGTGGGACTATTTCAATAAGGCTTGCAATGTAGTTCTTGTACTGAAATCATTGTCAGGAACTATTAAAATAATTATTTAAATCACTATTGAAATCATTCTTTCAATCACTATTGAAATTATTCTTTCAATCACTATTGATATCTTTATTTCAATAGTGAATATTATTTCAATAGTGGTTGCAACCTGGTTTAGGTTTTAAAATGCATTCAAATTTTCTATTGAAATTGTTGTTTCAATAGTAAACGTATCTCAGTAGTGGTTGCAACCTGTGTTCGGTCTTGAAATGCATTTTCAACCACTATTAGAATAACTATTTCAATAGTGAACGTTATTTAAATAGTGGTTCCAACCTGTGTTCGGTCTTGAAATGCAATTTCAATCACTATTGCAATAATTGTTTCAATAGTGGTCGTTATTTCAATAGTGGTTGCAACACTGCTATATACTAGCAGGAACTTCATTCTCTCATATCTTGTGGAAAATTTAAATATTTGTTACTTTGTACCATAATTCAGGCACATATAACATCAGTATCAAATGCATGTTTAACAATCACTAAATGTCATGAAATGAGTGGAAGTTCTTTTCCTTCTTTGTCAAAGTTTTGCACAGAGAAATGATCTTATGATTATGTTATTGTTTTTGTTATATATAAGTTCTTGTTATTCTAAGTTTATTCATAAAATATTTTTGATAGAGAATTCATGATATAAAATATATCTTACAGTGTACTCCCTCCTCATATCAATGCATTACCAAAAGAGTTAATATATTACCAAATTGATTGAAAATGATTAAAGTATAATAAATTTTTATTTGAAAGACGTTATGTGTGCATAAATAAGTAAAAAAAAAAACATGATCAGCTCTACAAAAAGAAGATTTACTGACTGGATATATTCGGGTAAACTTTAAATATTGTTGCAATGTTATGCTATTGCAAGACATAGTATAAATACGCAGGTATATTAAGGCTACATGTACAACCAGATATTTTACTTGCCTATAAAATATGATATCATAATACGCTTTAAGAGATAACGATTTCTAAATATATTCACTTAAAGACTTATTTTAGGTCCTAGAAATAAATAAAAACATGAAAAATAATATAAACTAAGGCTTGTCATGTTTTACATGGTATTTATATCGATTTATTTGTCAAAGAGATTAAATGCCTAATCAGTAAAGTCATAACTGTTCAACAAATATTTGACGAATGGAAATGAAACTACCGAGAATTCATGTAAACAAATATATGAAATGGTGGATAGAAAGCATGTATCAAATTAGAAAAAATCAAATTCTAAAAATAATAATCTTGAAAATATAATATTAGTGATAAGTACTTTATGAAACATTTCTTTAAAATTACGGGTGTCAAAATTGTCTAATATTTCTATTCGGTGGTATTACTTCCAGCTTTCGTATAATAACCCAAATCATTTTTAAAAAGGAGAGATTTAAAAAAAAAAAAGCATATACCATGAATATTAAAGATGAAGAAAAAGTGTCGCTGTCTTATTCTTATCATTTTTTATTTATTATAATAAGGGAAGGTAGTGTTTTGAAATCCAGATCAGCCTTTCTTCTGTCGTTACTTAAATCAAAGATGGTACCCCTTTTATGGGTAGGTCGGGACTACTTATGCATTTAATGCATGAGTAGTCCCGACCTACCCCTAAAAGGGGGGTATGATTTGAACAAAATTGAATATACACTAACTAATTAGGATTCTTAATTATTTCTTAGACTAACTGTGGCTTTTTCCTACAATTTTAAACTTTCATTGTGGCCCCACCCTACCATCTTTGATCTTTGATCAGTTCAGTATTGAAAAGCATTTCAATACTGAACTGATTTTTTTTCCTAGCCACAGTGCTCAAATGAGCGATGTGGCGCCTGGGCCTCGTGTTGAGTTTATGTGTTAAAGCTTGCCATGTTGCATTGAGGGTATGTCCTGGCAATATATTAATTTTAATTAACACCCTTCTATTACCCTTATATTAATCTGTATACAAAAACATGGCAGTATTACTTGTCTAGGTAATGTACGGAATGTACATGAATGAAATCATTAAAAAAAAACAAAAAACATCGCATCCAAGTTAATGGTCTTTCTTATATCTGCAAATATTTTTTATTTGACTACAAAATACTTTTTTCATTGTATAAAATATTACTTGTTCCGCCTTTCATTTTTCATTGTATAAAATATTACTTGTTCCGCCTTTCACTACATACAAACTGCGTCAAATTTTGCTATATGACGTCACTTTGACAAGTGTATTGCGATCAGTGAATTGTGTATATTTTGCTGTGTGCGATTTAACCAAGGACAAAAATACATGCAATAGAAAGTATTGATGTAGTTTAAAGCTATCTAACAGTTGAAAAATAACAAATCATTTCATTTTGTGGTAATTTGGAGAATTGATATTTTTGTATGATGTCATTGAAAACATTTCCCGTACAAATGAGGTCCGTCTCCTTTTTGTAGCCTTAGCTGTGCTGCGTGTATCTGCTCAATTTTTTTTACCTAGTCATTCATCTGGAACACGTAGGTAAAATCCAGCATTCAAAGCAAGTATAGGACTGTTTATTGCCTGATGCATCATCCATGTAAGGTTGGTCTTGGTAGTGTTTGAAGTTACATTGGAATGAATCTGCTCAAACAACTATAAAACCTGATCACTCATCCAGAAAGTGTAGGTCAAATCTGTCGTCTGAGGCAAGCCCGAAAGTGTGCATCTCTAGATGCAACTCCATGTGTAACCGAGCAGTAGAGAATAAATGATGGAATCGTCATTGTAGCAATTTATTTCGTGAAGTATAATAAAAAGACTTTGATCTGCAAATAGAAAAATAGACATTAGAGAAAAATAAAATACACTTTTAGTTTCATAAAATTTGACAATAAGTTACCGTTAATGCAGCATAGATTAATAAGATAGAAAAAAATGTTCTGTACCAAAATGAACATTGAAATCCCAGACAAATAATAAGGATTCACTCAGACAAATTTATCAACAAAATACAATAATGTGTAAACTTTCAATTGATTTAAAATGTCAATACTTCGAACTTTTATAGTAAAGTAAAAAAATAAAATATGATAATTACATAGCACAAGATGCAGCTAAAATACACTGGATAGAGATTTTCTGATGAAAATGAAATATGGAGATAAAGAACAGTAATCAAGTCAAAAAGTCCGTTGAAACAATACAAATCGGGAGCAGAGCAAACACGGACCTCTGAAAAACATCAGAGGTGGGGTAAGGTGCCATGGAGGAGTAAGCATTTCCTGCAAGCGGTCAAATCCGCCGTGTGCTCATTGTCATGATCGGGCAAACGGAAAAAAATCAAAGATAAATCAATGTATAATAATAATGGGTTAACAATTAGTATGAAAAACATGAATGTAATATTGCCCAATTTTGCATAGTGTGAACGGTCACTTACACTCAAGGTCAATGAAAACAATTGGATAATATCAAATTGACCAATGTAATTGAAGATTGAAATCATCCTAATCCGATGCGTAAAAGAATTATACTTCAAAAATATTCAAGATTACTTAAGATGAAATATCTGGAGATAATGAACAGTATCCAAGCTCAAAAGTCCATTAAAAAATACAAATTTTGGAGCAGAGCAAACACAGACCTCTGCGAGCTTGGATGGAGGAGTGAGCATACTCTGCCGACCGGTTACATCAGCCGTGTGCTCCTTGTCATAATCGGGAAATTATCCAGATGCTTGACTTAGGTAAGGTTTTTGTAACAGGTCCTTACCAAGTGACTGTAAGGGCTACCTGTACAACACCTGCATGGATAATGAATGTACATTACCAGAGTTGCTTCGGATGGAGGATTCAAATTTAACTTCCCAGATGTGTGACCAGCTGGTTAAAGGTTTTGGAACAGACTCATTCCAGCGTAAATTTCAAAACCCATCTGGGCCAAACTTGCATGTGTGGTAGAACAGATTTTCGTATTCATTACATTAATCTGGGCATCTAATAACATTTTTCGAAGGAGTATGTAGTAGGACAGATTAACTATTTATTTTAGATGTAATTTTCCGTTTTGGAATAATTCTATTTTCGAATCCAACTTATACCCATATCTCCCTTTCAAAGGAGGAAATTCTTCAAAATCATTTCTCAGTTTTGAACATTTTTGATAATCTCAACAACCAATATGAGTTTGAATTACCATATCTATATTGGATTTCGAAACTTCATAAAAAACTTTACAAAGAAAGATACAAAGCGGGTAAATATTCTACCAAGCCTCTTTCTTTACGCCTCACTAAAATATAAACAGTAGTGAAGGAAAAACTCGAGGAGTATTGTGCAACAATATATTCGAAAAGTGGTGTAAATCAGGTGTGGAAACTTAAAAATTCTAAGAAACTTTGAAAAATTTGAAATCACAAAATTTTACCAAAACCAACAACATAAACACTTACGACTTTTCAACTTTATATACCATTGTTCAAAATTTTATAGGTGAAAAGAAGAAAACACTTTCTGTGGCCTTCGATTCAACATTTAGATATAGCGACGACGTATTGTCAATTAACAATGGTTATTTCTATTCTTATGTAGATACGATATATCCCGGTGAGCTTGAAATAAAAAATACCACAGAATCTGGTTCATCTGTTTCATATTTGGATATTTTACTAGAAATAGATGTTAATGGTAATCTAACAACGTTTAACTAAGCTTTATGATAAACGTGATGACTTTAACCTGCATACGGGGTTTATATTTCTCAGTTGATACAATATGCAAAAACATGCTCTAGGTATGAACAATTTCTAAAATGAGGTAAGTTATTGACAAACAAGTTGATGAAACAAGATTTTCAGCAGTCTCGTTTAAAGTCATCATTTCGTAAGTTCTATGGTCGATACAATGACCTTGTCAGCAAATACAATTTATCATAAAGTCAAATGCTGATTGACGTTTTTCATACTAATTGTTAGGCCATTATTTACACACTGAATTGGTCATGGATTTTTCCGCTATTTCCCGATCATGACAAGGAGCACACGGCGGCTGTGACCGGTCGACAGGGGATGCTCACTACTCAATGACACCTGATGCCACCTCCGATGTTTTAAAAGTCCGTGTTTGCTTTGTTTCAAAATTTGTATTGTTTAATGGATTTTTGAGCTTGAATACAGTTCGTTATCTCCATGTATTTCATTGTTCTTACGTGGAGCATGATCTTGCGTTTCGAATGAATTGGGAGATAAAATCCCCAAATGTAGGTGACAAAGATAGATTGCTACATGAATAGAAATTGACGATGGAAAAGTTGAAGTCATCACGTTAATCATAAGGTTTTGCTGTTTGGTTATCATTAACATATTTTCTGGTAAAATATCCAAATATGAAAGAGATGTGTCAGACTCTGTGGTATGTTTTATAATAAGTTCACTGGGATCTATCGAGTCAACATATGAATGGAAGAAACTATTGTTACTTGATTATATGTAGTCAATATATCTAAATGTCGAGTTGAAGGTCACAGCAAGTGTCTTCTTCTTCTCATGTAGACGTTTTTGAATAAACTCTGCTTCATATGAGTATAAAAAAATAGGTCGGCTAATAATGGTGCGCAATGTAATACATAATATGTAATACATAAGGTACCTAGAAGTGAATTCAATTTTAACTGGGTAGAATTCCCACAGTGCATCCTTTTTAGCAATCTGCGTAGCAAGCGTGCACCGTTCACATAAAGTGCTTTTTGGTTAGAAGTGCGTTTAAGGGACTGTAGTAATTGATAATTATTATACACAGTAGATGTGATAAGTAACATGGATTACATGGTTTTCTCATTTTATTGAACAAAAATGATTTATAAAAATTGAAAATAGACTAAAAATGCGGGGCATAATGTGTAAATGCCATTCCCTAGTCCTCTATTATTAGTCCTCTACCGGTGAAACCGAAGGGGACTATTGGTTTCCTCTGAGTTTGTCCGTCCGTCTGTCTGTCTGTCTGTCTGTCTAGCTGGCCCTCTGTCCGTCTGTCTGTCCCACTTGGTTTTTCGCACTTTTTTCTAAAAGCTTGCAGATATTGAGCTGATGTTTGCTTTGTGAGTGTATCTTGATGAGTTATAGATCAAGTTTGCATTTCGTTCCGCTTCAATGATTTTTGACGGAATTATGACCTTTTCAATTTTTCAGGGTTTGCCGCAATTTTTTGCTAAATGCTTGCAGATATTGAGCTGATTTTCGGTATGTGACTTTATCTTGATCAGTTATAAATCAAATTTGCATTTCGTTCCGCTTCATTGATTTTTGGCGGAATTATGGCATTTTCAATTTTTATCGGGAACCAGATTAAATATGCCGGTAGGGGACTAGTATTGCTAATGTAATACTCTCAGAATGCTTGTTTTTCTTCTACCGGTAAATCTGAGGGCTCAATTTTCAACCCTGAAAGTTTATGCTACGCTAACAAAACTAATTGTCTATTAAACGCTGTATTGAAAGTGATTTCATTATGAGAGCATTTTTTTAAAGGATAAAACATATGCAAATAAATTCAATCTTATTTGAATATCCTTTTTAGGATTTCCTGATAAACACAGCATTATGAAAAATATATTTTTTTTATCCCTACATAAGTCGCATTTGCTCAACGCAATCATCAATCCAACAAAAGCTGGTTTTAAAACAGTCAGTCAAAATTATTTTTCTCTAAATATTCTTCAAGTATTGTCATCGTCCATGGTCTGTTGCTTTACCAAAATTTAAATAACATAACAGAAAGGGTATTCTCCCAATTCTAGATAAAGCAATAAGTGACACCAGTCTGCGCCATATACATTGTATTGAATTGAAAACAACTCGTCCTTGTGTCTATTGACCGAAACAAGTTTACCTGTACCTATGACTGTTCGAGATTTCATAATAATACGAATAACCCTGAATAAGCAATATATGCATTCTGTTGCATTCACAGTATGTTTTGACAAATGAAATAACTACACAGTAAGTACTTTTTTTGTTTTCTCTAAAATATTGTGATGGGAAGAGTAATATTTCTATGCGTTTATTGACATCATTTATGTATTTCAATAATAAATTAATTTATTATTGTAAAGAGTCATGGTAGTTCTTTTCTTCGCAAATAGACACGATGGAAATTTGTGTTTAAGTAAATTGGAAAGAAATTTCATGTACCACAACGACAATAATGCATGGATAGGAGGAAATTATAATTTTATCTTTTATGTAGTTGTTAAAAAAATGTATGTGTACTTGTACTGTCATAGAGAATCAAAAACAGTGATTTGAGACGTAATCATTCAAAAATTAGAAAGATAATGTATTATTTTGTATAGAAATTCTAAGTCTATCTTGAAATCAATAATACATAACCTGAGCGTTAGTTAAAAAAATAACACTGTTGTTTTTTTTCCTTCTATATAAATCTATATTGGCAAAGTTCTTTGGCAAATGTCATTAGATACCCATGGTTAAAATGAAGAGTTTAAAAGAGACTAATAGTACTTATAAAAGGTACAAATTCTTACAATTTATATGTATAGAATGCCTTAGGAAAACAACAAATATTTTACTTTGAATGGAGTATATATATTATACTCTTATCAGACTTCGGATCTTTAATTCATTTTATATATATCATTCAGTAAAAACTTGTTTGAATGTAATTTTGTACACTTACAAAAAAGTCTTTCAGTTCGTTTAGTACTGCAAATCTTGTGTACCATGACGATTTTTTGTTGAGTAGTACATGTAGGTTAAGTAAAATTCAATTTCCCTAGAGACATATCAGAAAGATATTTCTTGTCTGTTCCCCCCTTTAGATCGTAGAGCTAATAGTATTACCTAATATAAAAATGACGTTTTGGTATTATCTGATACAGAAATTTAGAGAGATGGAACTACTTAATTAGTCTGTTTGTTTGTCCGTCCATCTGTCCATGCATCCATCAGTTTATTAAAGCATCCGCTCTTTTGAAAATAGAACATTTCCTTCATCTTCACATGTGTTTATACAATGGTCAAAATCAATTAAGAGTATACACTTGAAAACATATTTGATTCGACACCCCGAAGTTAAACATGTACGCAAAACGCGGTGGGATATATTCAATATACTCCTTCAACTATAATCAAATAATAGCATCATTGGTGCTCAAGATCAACGAAAGAAGACATTAATTAAAAACAGAGAAGAAAGGAAAGTACATGTTCGTGTTTCGTAATAGAAACCTGTGTGTTTTATCGAGATCTGTAAAGGTGTGTGGTTTTTATCAACAGAGGCAACATTCTTTTTTCATCAAAAATATTTACTGGAAAGCTAAGGTTAAAATTCATCCAAACTTACTTTACATACGCAGGAGAAAAGAGGAAAATAATTTAAATTTTTGAATAAAAACTGCTAATGAAGAACTGAAGGGCCATGATTACTCATGTAAGCTTGTAACTCATTGATCTCTTGTTTCTATGACGAATGCCATCGAATTTTTGAGTAGGAAGATTAAATTTGCAAAACATGTTTTTTGGAAGGACACGAGACTTATTTGCCATATTTAGAGCCATTGGGCTTGATGAGGCTATTTTATGAACGTTTCATGGCGAAATTCGGGTTCTTAAAAATATACTGATTTTTTATGTTTATTTCTGGCTATGTAAATTGGCAAATAAGCTTCCTTCTTTCTGGGAACTGGGAATTTTATCTGTTTCGTTTCGATCTAACATTACACCTTTTCCTATGAAGCAGAATATATTCAAAACCTCTACATGACAAGTAGAAAGCACTTGCTGTGGCCTTCAGCTCGACTTATAGATATATCGACGACGTATTATATATTAACATGATTTACTTCCATTCATATGTCAGTCGCCCGCGTGGCGCAGTGGTTAGAGCGTCTGCTCTAGAGTCGCAAAGTAAGGAGTTGATCCTTACGTCGCGGGTTCGAATCCCACTGTTGGACGTGGAGACCGGTCCTTCGGATGAGACCGCATAAACCGAGGTCCCGTGTCGCAGTAGGTGCTGGCACGAAAAAGATCCCTCACTGCTCAATGGCCGTAAGTGCCGAGTATAGAACAAAATTAGCAGCTCTCCACCGGCAAGTGGTGGCGTCTCCATATGAGTGAAAAATTCTCGAGAGGGACGTTAAACAACAATCAAACAAAACAAACATTCACATGTCAACTCGATATATTACAATGAACTTGAGATAATAGACAACATAGTGTCTATACCATACTTGTTTCATATTTGGATGTTTTATTGGCTATACACAACAAAGGCAAACTAACACTTATTGTATTACAAACGAGATGACCTGACCCTTTCCATCGTTAACTTTCCTTTTCTATGTAGTACTATCCTACTATCAACTGCATGTGGTGTTAACATCTTCCAACTTATTCGATACTTACCAGCCTGCTCCGAGTACGATCAATTTTCAAACCGAGACAGACTACTAATAGATAAGTTGATGTTACGGGGATTTCAACAACCTCGTTTAGAGTCAGCATTTCGTAAATTCTATGGTCGTTTTAATGACCTTGTTAGAAAAAATAGCCTGACATTGGGCCATATGTTGTCTGGCGTTTTTCATACCAATTGTTAGACATATATTTTTATACTTAATTTGACTAAGGAATGTTCCGTCTACCTGATCTATTCAAAGGGCTCACGGCGGGTGTGACCGGTCAACAAGGGATGCTTACTCCTTCTAGGCACCTGAAACCACCCCTGGAATTTCCATTGGCCTTTGTTTTATGCGTTCTTCACATATTTGTATAGTTATAGATTTTTGTTAGATCGATAACTGTTCCTTATCTTTGCCTTTTCCATTAAGGATTGCCATACTAACACCAGCCTCTACAGAGGTTAGGGAAACAACTAAGAAGTCACGTTAAATTAACATAAATGAATTTTGATGGATAAAGACGATTCTTTCCTTTCATAAATGTATACATTAAAAACTTTTCGTTTCTCATAATTCATGAAGTGATAAATTGATGTGCAACTTATCTTGCCATACCAGCACTGTCCAAATGTAAAATAAAAGATAGCTTGATCTATGTACTGACTAAGAAAACATCACAGAAACGCAGTTTCCCTGTACTTAAGTTGTGGATCAAGCCATTATAGTAGCTTGTATTTATGAAAAAACAAAATGAGAAAAAGATACCAATATATCGTTGAACTTTTACGATCTTTGTAGCAGTACATATATTATCTAATTTTAAACCTGTCATGTTAAACACAGCTGATGTAAGTGATGTCGTTTTGACCCAACTCAGCAGAAACCTGATATATACAAATCCAATTCCAATCTATTAAAATTCATGCTGTTAAAACAATATTAACACTGTTTTCATTTTCTCGCAATATTTTGAGGCGTATTTTCCATACGGGCATCTTTTACCTAGCTGCGAATCGGAAATACTATTAGAAATTAAAGAAACTATTTTGGGGTTTAACATAACCTTTGATGCTCTTCATTATTAATCGAACGCCCTTCGTATAACCTTTCAGAATCTACTAGTTTTAACTGTTAATGCAGCATTTTTAAGGTGTACTATGAAGAAATCAACGGAATATAGTAGTACACAACACAAACAGATCTATACTTCTTAAAACTCTATTTCTGTTAATGTACTATATTTTTACATGAATTTATTTTATTTGAAATACTCTTAGTCAATTAACATGTTGATTAGTAATTTGCATCCAAATGTTTCAACCCTTTAGTGTAGTTCATTATATATTAAACGTTTTTGTTATTGGCTATTTATATATACAAGCTAATTCAAGGAATTTATATCCTCCTTTCAAGGACAAATGTTAGCCAAAATCAGATCAAAACAACATGCATATTCGTTACCTTGACCATTAACTCTCATTTTCCTTCATTGCAAACAATATTGAAGTCAATCTGAAAACCATTTTATATGTCAATTGTGAATTTATGACCTTGACCTTTAACGTTATGACTTACCAGCTGACAAAGCAGGTAACAACATTGTCTTTGTTTGTAAGGCACATCATCTTAATTGTATTTTAAAAGAACTTGGAGAATTTTAGAAAATGTTAATTCACAAAATTTTACCAAAACAATAACATCAAAATATAAAATTTTTCAACACTCTATACAACCGTTTTCCACGATATGTTAAAGTTCAAGCTATTTGACATCGTTGACAGCTGCTTTTTAAATAGAAATAAAACTCATGAAGTTAATTACCTTGTCATTGACCATTTGCTAAATGTTTTTGTTCAAAAACATTCTGATTGTAAACTGAAGTACTCTGAAGTAGATATTAAAAAGACGCTTGAGTCTTTGCTTGTCGGCCCACCAGTTGTAAAGGTGTATTGTTCTATATTGTGTGTATTTTACAGGTGTAAGTTTTTTTCTCGTGTTTTGTAGGGATTCCTTAACACCAAAAGAAAAGAGAATTCTATTATTATACGTTTATTTTTCACACCAGACAAGCAGAATGATTAAAGTTCTTTTGGCTTTGCTCTCTTTGACTTCTGTAGCATACGGTGAGTTTCTTTTTCATTACATTTTAGCTATAACATAGATAATTTTGAAAAGAGCATTATTTTTTTTCTGGAAAGTTGGTATAGTTAATTGTATCTGGTAATTTATTGAATTGAATATTGTACGGTAACTGTCTTATAAAGCAAATATGAAATTGAAGTATGTAGAATAAATATATGATGTGAATTTTAAGAAATATACAATATTAAATTGGATAAATTCAGTAAATTGGCATTGGATTGGGTACAACAAAATTGGAATTACTGAGTTAAAAATATATGCATATCATACATTGGATGCAGCGCTAATATAAGCATATTCGAAAATGTTGTTTAAGTAGGGATGACAATTGGATTCATTTTTTATTTATAGTTGGGTAAAAATAAATGATTATTTGTCAAAGATTGTTGTTCTCATAATTGTAAAAGTTTGCTTGAATATCGTCATGCTGTCGATGGTGGTCGTGGCATTTTTAAGTTTCGCAGTTTTTTTTTTTTTTTTAAACGAATACACTTACCCTGTAAAATATTACACAGTAAAAAATTTGTTGTTTTTAATGCATGAATTGGAAAAGAAACAGGAAGATGTTTTAAATGGTATTCGGGGTTCATAATTACTTATGGTGGCTTATTTCGACAACTATTTATTTATTTATTTTTATAAGTCGATTGCAACGCTTCAGTTTTAAGCACATTAAAACACTTTATATCAAAAGTACATATTCTGCAAAATATATCGACTAACAGATTGAGAAACTTGTAACCACATGGTTCTCCATCATTTCTACTTTAACAGTGGTGCAAGACTTACGCAAGACTTACGCAAAGTGCTAATATTCGCGGTCATTTGGCGATTGAATTCACAAAGAAAAAAATGGATGAAATTGAAAATCACATAGTTCTTCTTAATCACTTGTTAAGTCTGCAAATGGTATGAATTATTTGGCTATTTGAAATCAATTTAATTCAAAAAAAATAAAAAAAATTAATGGTTATAGAATAAATATCGTGTTAAACGAACAATAGCATCCTATATATACGAGGGGTGATCAAAAAGTTCGCCAACTATCTCCATATTTACAATACCACAATTTCAGATCTGAATGAAATTTGACATACATATAGCCAAACACACGTTCTATATATAGCAGACGTTATGCAATGTTTTGCTTCATGTTTGTTACGTCACAATGTTGAAAATGACGTCAATATGTAGGTGACTTGTCACAAAGAATGATTCAGTCGTACTCTAGCAACAAACGGCTGTAAAGTTTTACGTGTATCGTGGAAATTCCTTTACAGTAGCAGATAATAATTTGTACAATGTTTATGAAGACAAAAGACTTGCTAGCAGTTCAATCATTAATTGGATTGATTGTTTTAGTGAAGGAAGGGAGATGGTTAAAAATGATGTTTGTTCTGTTGCCCAATGAAAGCAAGCTGGGGAAGAGATGTGTCCTTAGTTGAGCAATTTGTTATAAAAGATTGCCAAGTTACAGTTAGAAAGGTAGTTGAATATCTTAACAATGATGTAATTATGAAATCACTGAAAATTCGCTTAATTTAGACATAGAACATATCATATATGATAAAAAAAAAAAAAACGGCGCCCATACTTTATCCATAATGGATAGACGACTCTTCTAAGACAGAGGACTTGGGTTGTGATGGTCACCATGCTTATTCTGGGAAAGATATCCTTATCCACTCATCCAAAATTGCCGAGATTTGGCCATTCCTGATAAATGGACTGTTCTTGTTATAAAAAATAACCTGCATGGTAAGAAATATAAGACCCGGAAAAATCTGTTAATTTCTGTGAACAGAACGCTAAGGAGCATGTCATGTGACCGCCTACATCACGTGATTTGCGCATGGGCAGAACGGTGGCAGATGTGCATTTAAATTGGAGAGGACAATGTTAAGAAAATAATGAACATTGAAACTTAATTTCATTTCTTTTATGGAAGTAATTCAATTAGATTCGAACTTTTTGATCACCCCTGTATGTGTGTGTATACTGTGAAAAAGCCCCCCCCCCCCCCCCCACACACACACACACACACACACATACTAACCTACATATACGTACTTATAAATAAAAAAAAATATTAAATTATTGAATCTGAAAATAATAGTACCAATGATAACAAATTTTAAATATTCAACTGTGATATTTTAGAAAAAAAAAATTGTTTACAGAAGGTAAATTATACATATATATAGAGTTCATACAAGGGAGAGAAAATTCTGGCAGGTCATAAAATCATACATTCATCTATGTTTTTGCAATTATTGTTCTCAAATGACTAAAGTATCTTAAAACTTGTGAATAAAAAACACTTTAGGTCTTTAGAGTCATTAAATACTATTTCTATGGATCAACCTTTAATTTTTCAACAATATATAAAAAGTGGACAATACATGATTAAAAAACACGTGCCATGTTTGACTTGACAAGGCATTTTAGAGACGTGATATCTATAGTATTTCTTTAGCTTAGTAATTTATTGCCATAAAAAATTTTCACCTTCAATTACCGGGAAGTGTGAAAAAAGGGCATTTCTTTTCATATATGCGTAAACTCCAGCAAAGTCTAGAAGCTAATTGCTTGCGCAAGCCAAACAATGGACACTAATTCGGGTACATTAACGATCTAAAATTAGAAACTGAAACCGGCAAATAATTTGGAGGTTCGTTTTGAGAAATTGAAAATGATTTTATAAACTTATACATTTTACGATGATCTTACTGTGGCACAAATATTTAACTGTGGCAGAACTAAGGCGCTGATTTTTAACTGTGGTACTAAGGAATTTGACTGTGGGTCGCCACATTAAACTGCCCATGCTTCCATAATCTAGTTATGATCTTCCCGTCCGATAAGTCCGTACACCGGTTCATCGTTGCCATCCCTAGTTTTAGGTGATTTTGTGCATGTTCAACGACATAGAACTGCCAGGATAAAACACTTTGAATATATATGTTTTTTTCATTGGTTTTTACAAGCGTAATAAAATTCTTTTCCAAAACTAAAGTATAAGAACTGCATATATTATGTATAAACACACCCACCCAAACACCCACTCAAACACCCACACAAAACCTTTGTTTTAATCTGTCTTAATCAAAAAGGGAAGTAACATCCCATTTCAATAAGTTCATTTTATCAAACATTTTAATTATCGTTTATTAAACAGGTACAATTTCTGACCAGTGTTTGAGATGTATTTGTAAGGTACGTAAAACAAAATCACTTATCCATATGTTCTCAATGAGGCAATACATTTAATACACACACTAATAACTTTCAAATCCTTAGGAGACATGCCTTATCATAAGATTCAATAAGATTTGATAAATTCTTACCATATTAAGTTAGTTTGAATTAAGGTGTTTCAATCATCAGTTAGATATATCTCTAATCGAAATTTATCAAAATGCCCGCAGGTTGAATCAGGCTGCGGCTGTGATTTAGACGTCACCATTGGTTATTCTACTAATCATATGAATCGATAGGACGTGTCAAAATGCTAACTGATTAAGTTGTTTCATCATCGCTAAGATAACCCAAATTAGAAATGTTAAGCATAAATTGAATACATGCAGGCTGAATCAGGCTGTCAACCTATTGGCTGTAGGCTTGACGTCTACTCAGACTCCTGTGGATTTTTTCAAATCAAAGAGGCTTACTGGAAAGACTGCGGTCGACCTGGAATTGGTAAGGAGAGAGAGAGAGAGAGAGAGAGAGAGAGAGAGAGAGAGAGAGAGAGAGAGAGAGAACAACTTCATTGCATTGATACAATGTACTCAATTACAGTCCTTTCATACTTGTCATATACATTTCTTAAAATTGACCTGCATTAATGATAGGATGGAAAGAATGTTCTAAAGATTACAGCTGTGCCGCTGGTTGCGTTCGTACCTACATGAACCGTTACATTGGTTACAGTGGTTGTCCTGCCAACTGCGAGAGTTTTGCGAGAATCCACAACGGCGGACCAAAGGGATGTACATATGATTGTACCAAACAATACTGGAAGCGTGTTCAACAACAAGGATGTACTATGTACAGCTAAAGGCTTTGTTATTTTCTGTTCATTAGCGTTGCATGTGTCATGAAATATGTACATATGAAAAATCTAAATACGTATAAATAAAAGTGTGCCATACTTAAAGAAACTTATGAAATATGAATAAAAACGTGTCTGTAATGTTTGGTGCCTATTTACTTTACCTTCACGTTTACTTTACTTTTTTACTTTACCTTCACGTTTACTTTACTTTTTTACTTTACCTTCACGTTTACTTTACTTTTTTTACTTTACCATCACGTTTACTTTACTGTTTTACTTTACCATCACATTTACTTTACTTTTTTTCTTTACGTTCACATTTTCTTTACTTTTTTACTTTACCATCACATTTACTTTACTTTTTTACTTTACCATCACGTTTACTTTACATTTTTACTTTACCATCACGTTTACTTTACTGTTTTACGTTCATGTTAACTTTACTTTTTTTACCTTACCTTTACGTTTACTTTACTTTTTTCTTTACCTTCACGTTTACTTTACTTTTTTTTACTTTACCTTCACGTCTACTTTACATTTTTACTTTACCATCACGTTTACTTTACTGTTTTACTTTACCTTCACGTTTACTTTACTGTTTTACTTTACCTTCACGTTTACTTTACTGTTTTACTTTACGTTCATGTTAACTTTACTTTTTTTTACCTTACCTTTACGTTTACTTTACTTTTTTCTTTACCTTCACGTTTACTTTACTTTTTTTACTTTACCTTCACGTCTACTTTACTTTTTTACTTTACCATCACGTTTATTTTACATTTTTACTTTACCATCACGTTTACTTTACTGTTTTACTTTACCTTCACGTTTACTTTACTGTTTTACTGTTTTACTTTACCTTCACGTTTACTTTACTGTTTTACTGTTTTACTTTACGTTCACGTTAACTTTACTTTTTTACTTTACCTTCACGTTTACTTTACTTTTTTCTTTACCTTCACGTTTACTTTACTTTTTTACTTTACGTTCCACAAAAAGAATGCTAGCTTACAGTAACTTTAAAATATTTAGAAACCATTACAGTATTCTGCGGTCCAGGGTATACATGAAGATAACGAAAACAATAATCTTTGAACATCTTCTTTCTTAAGAATTGTAAGATTTCCGTTCTCGCAGTAGATATGCATGTTCATTGATATGCTACAGATTCAACTGAAGTAAGAATTTAAATATTTCTATCCGTAGTAACGCAGTGGACCTTAATAAATAAATACTATAGTAAACTGTAGTTAATTGTAAATAAATGTTTCATAGTTATCACATTAGTATCATAGTGACTACTAGAGTGTCATTGTTATTTAATTAAGCTATCTAATGTCACAACAAAGGTATAATATATTCTACAGTTTCTACAATTTACCACAGATATCTGTTAATGTCTTGTATTTCCAATAATCCCATGCGTTTTGCATGCAAAAAATTTTACTTCAAATTCTTGTTTAGTTTCATACTTTTTTTATTTAATGCTACTGACTAACATTTCTATAACTGATAGCTTCGTGATGGGGGATCGAGCCCGAGTTCGATTCTCATTTGCAGCGCCGTTTCAAACCTGAGACGTAAACATAGGTAGTGACTGTTCCATCGTCAAGCGCCTGGCATTAGAAGTGAAAGTCACGGTAGGCGTTGGCACGATAAAGAACCCTCACTGCTCAATGGCCCTAAGTCCCTAGTATAGGACTATATTTGAAGCCCTTCACCGGCATACGGTGACATCTCTATATAAGTGAAAACTTCTCGAATGTGACGTTAAACAACAACAATCAATCTAAAACTTACATTGTTTGTTTATCATTTTAAAGAGGTTCGTTCCTGAGCTTTTGAGTAGAGTTTTGTCTGAGCCCTTATTTCTTAAATATTGCATCATGTTTTAGTTCTCACAGGAAATGTAGATTCCACAATGCCGGTTGAATCATATTCAATTGAAAATCTACAAATAAATTTCATACAAAAACATTAAGCTAGGAAGTATATTTTTGGTGGAAGACTTATTTTTATAAGAAATTGGTCATTTTTTCTGTTCAAAGTATTTACAGTACATTTAAGTTTGAATTATTTTTTTTCCATGCTTGTTGCACACAGAATTATTTGTAGAGTGAAATGTTTTATGCAGGTCCCAAATTATTTATTAAATTCAGTATTATGAACTCTATCATCATATTGGGCTAATGATGCTTAAAATTAACACTAGTTAGTAATTTCTAAAACCCCAAGTTTTGAATTTATTTTATAAATATTTAAGATAACTTTGACCATTTTGCTTAAATTCATTAAAGGTTTAAGACTTTAAAAGAATTTGTACTTGTTAAGTGATAATTGCAAGAAAATTGACGTTTTAGGAGTGCAGAAAGGTCTCTCTTTCTCTCTCTCTCTATCTCTCTCTCTCTATATATATATATATATATTCGGTAAAGAATAGTCTCTAAATTATAAAACGTTATTGATAAGAAATGAAAGCGCTTATATTTTACTCGTTGTCTGTGTTTTATATGTCATGTATTTGATTTTTTATTTCAATTATCTTTTGTTTTGAATGTCTTTATATCCCAGTCAATAATTAATTGTTTGTTTGTCTTTTTGTGTCACTTTTTTAATTGAATGATTTTTTCGCTCACATAACTGTATTCCTTTTTTATTTTTTTATGAGCTAGCAAAAAATAGCTGCGATATGCTCGTTTTGACATGAGTTGCATTAAGCAAAATTTGTTGATATAAATTGAATTTTTCATATATCATTTATTTAATTCTCTAAAGTAAAAGATTTCAAAAAATACAGTTTGTTTTTAAAAGTGTTCGATTTTGTATTGGAAAATGGTTTTGTCCAGCCCAAGATGAAATAAACAAAATGTCGTTTTACTTCTTCCTTCCCACTGTATGCTCGCGCACAAAAGTTGAACCATGGTCTTATGCAAATCCCAAGAAAAGAAGGAACGTAAAGCGAGGATTTTTTAATGGAATATGGAGATAACAAACTGTAATCTAGCTCAAATGTCGATTAAAACAATCGAAATCGGGAACGGAGCAAACACGGACGTCTAAAACATCTAAGAAACATTAGAGATGGAATCAGGTCTCAAGGGGGGAATAAGCATCTCCTGTCGACAGGTCACACCAGCCATGTGCTCATTGTCATGATCGAGCAAACGGAAAAATTCGTAGACAATTCATTGTTTAAATAATAGCCTAACAATTAACATGGAAAATGTCAGTCAGCATTTGACAAAGATAAAATATATTTGTTGACAAGGTCATTGCATCGACCATGGAACTTGCGAAATGATGATTTTAGATTGATATCTACTGTTGATATCTTTCTTTCATCAACGTGTTTGTCAAAGGCGTCTTTAAAAAAGATGATCTGAATTTATTTCTATAACATTTGCATACTCTAATTAAATGATGTTAACGGGTGTTGTGCTTTCTTGACATGGATAATAACAAGAATACGGTAAATAGAACCTCTGTTCTTCTTTTCACACTTTAATTTAGCACTTTTTGCTTAACTTACAGTGCAGTTGAGTTTTTCAGAACTGTTCTATACTTATATTGTTCAAAATAAATCTTTCGATATACGAAAACGTGTAGCCTAGTGTTATGGCGTTCGCTTTGTGATCGGTTTGAATTCAAGTTCCCTGCGCCGCGTCAAACCTAATACGTAAACACAGGTAGTGACTGCTCATTCGCCAAACGTCTAGTAACAAAAGTAAAAGTCTTTCGGATATGATCTTATAAACGTATGCCCCGTGTAATACAGTATATGATGACATCTCATATGAGTGAAAAATTACCGCAAAGGACATGAAACAGTAATCAATCAATCAATCACCTGGTCGATTTCAGAAACAAATATAATAAAATAACCATGTGATTTTGATTCATTATGTAACTATAAGATAATCATGATTTGGTGTGTAAAGTTTGTATGACTCTTTTAACAATTACTTATTGATCAGTATGGATATATGAAGTTTGGATAATCATTATATAAATCAATATATATTGTGCGATTGATCGTTTACGCTTATATCCTTTAATTGCACTACATTTATTCTCACCAATGTATATCGCTTGCACCAGAAGTTTGAGTCAGTGGATTGGTAACTTCTACATGTGATGATCACTTTGAAAAAAATTATTGACTAAATATAAGTAAACAAATCTCCGCCTTCATTCGTTCACGGTAATGCGGACCAAGGGTTCTTAAAAGTTTCTGTGATAACTTTTCAAAAATTGGCCAGGTATTTGACTTATGTCATATAACAAGAGCCTGGCAGATCATCCCTAACAAAAATTTACTATAGTTAACTATAGTTTACTATAGTTAACTATAGTGAAAACTTTGATACTTCGATTTACTATGAAACTTTACTCTAGAACTTTTTCAGAGATTTCAAAGCCTAAAATCTCTAAAATCCGATAACAGTAATGTAAAATTTGGAAATAATGTGTGAATATTCAAATAACATTTCAATTTAATTAAAAAAAATATGTAGGTATGAATTGAAGAACAAAAAATATAACGATCTGAAATCCATAGTACAAATACTTTGATTTACTATAGTGAAAAAACTTTGATACTATAGTAAACTATAGTTAACTATAGTAAACTATAGTTAACTATAGTACTTTTTTGTTAGGGATGATAAGCAATAACAATTACCTGATTATTATAGAAAATACTGATTTTCTATGACATAATTATTTACTCTTAAAAATCTCTCTGGACACGTTTTCGAAGATAAAGTGCAATATTATCTCCTAAATTTCATTTTAATGATAATAACATTTAAAGAACAAGGTTCATTTTGGGCTTTTTTGGCCCTGTGAATTTCAGAAAAAACTGAAACTGCTTGGTTTTAGTTGACAATGCATTAAATATCATTTAGATTTTGGTGACTGCGTATCTATCAAAAATGACGTAATTTTCTGGCTAGTCAATGCATTATGACCTCATGAAATGCGTCATTTTCCTCATATCCTGAAAAATTCTACAAAAACAGCCAACTTTTAAAGCTATTTTTCGATATTTAATATAGAGCGCAACCTCTGATCTAAAATATGCAACTATTAAATGTTAGAACTATTTCTACAAGGCCATTATATGCATAAAGTGAACCTAGCTCTTTATTGAGTCTGCATTTTATACAGACACAATAGCGCTTAAAATAAGAGTAAATGAAATAAGACAATAAACCT